TGAACTTCTTCAGTGTATGTTGGCCTCGCTTTTTTTTTTTTTTTTGCTCGGGATTAAAAGATGAATTTAAATAGATTGCTTGAGAGCTAATTGCTACTGAGTCAGAAAAATCAAATAGTCAGATATGTCATGGCTGGATAGGCGGGAACCTCATATCAAGTTGAAAATTTATCATATAATTATTAAAATAATTTCATTATCTTGAACTTTACCAACAAGAATTTGCAATTCATATGTTCCTATTCTAATAGATAATTGTATCGTTAGAAACCTGCCCCATTGAACCTTAATTCCTTCCCCTTGCAACCTCCTTTCCAGTGAAACAAATATAGTTCTATATCCCACTTTTCATGCCCCTGTTTGTTGTCCTTCCAAATTCGTATCTATGTTTTAGTATGTGTTAGAATTGATTTCTGCTTTATGAGCATTTTGGTTTTGGATAAGTGTGCTGCGTGCTTCAGCATGTAATAAATTACGAATCTCTGATTAGCTTAATGAACATGTTCAATTGAAATAAATTTGATGAATTTCTTTTCATTATTTAATTGAATATTAGTTGCAGACGGCTATGAACATTGGGAGTACTCCAAATGCAGCAATTTCTGGGCAGTCTTTTCACTCATCTGCAACAGTTGGTATTTCTTCTCGTCCGCCTAGTATCTTGTCATCCACCTTAGCTACTGTCCAGACTCCATCTCTTATTGCAACATCTACCCCTTTAATGCCTATTCTTGACACACCCGAACCCAGCAATATATCTAAGCATTCAACTGATCTGGTAAAGCCCTCGTCATTTTTTGGTCCACCTCCCTCTGCACCACTGATTATCCCTTCCGTCTCTTCCTCTGTACCAATTACACCCCCACTTAATCCTCCAGGAAGTCTTCAGCGACCTTATGGTGCTCCTCTACTCCAGCCATTTCCACCACCAACTCCCCCACCATCGCTCACTCCAACTTCTTCTGTTCCTACACCAAATTATGGAACTGTTATAAGCAGAGAAAAAGTTCGTGAGGCACTTCAGATGCTCATTCAGGTATTCTCTTCAATTGTCCCTGGAGTTTTTTGTTCTTGTGCGAAGTTTCTGGTCACAAGTCAACTCAGTTAAAATTTGTGAACATCCTTTGGCATCATGTCGGTACCTATTATGCTATTGGATGTCAAAGCATACTCATTTTCTGCTGTGCAAGCAATGACATTTTTTTTTACCTGCTTACATTACGAACATGCCTACTTGATAGCTCTCAGGTTGTATAGTGTTCACCAATCTATTGGTTTCCTTGCCGATGACATAAAAAATGAAAAAAACCTTCTGACGTTCTGGATTTATCTCTCAGTCAGTTTCTACTGGTCGTTAAGTTAGACAAGCCGGTGTCAATTACCCTTTTTGCTGAGACACGTGTCTTAGCGAACTACTATTCTGCATTTAACTTGTACAAAATCTTGGCATCTTTTCTTAAATTATGATATCTTTTGAGTGCATGTTCCTTATATGATCATTACCTTTCTGTGGATAGGATGATCGATTTATCGACATGGTTCATCGAGCAATGCTGAATGCACATCATTCATGATTCAGAAGAGATGACGTATGGAGAGAATCTGACACACCTGTCCAGTATGTAGTAGTAGAAGGCTTCTCTTCGACAAATTATAAATATGTAAAGACCATTTTGTGTAGAGTTTTCTTGTGGGTGCTGGCACTAACTAAATATATAGTCTTGTGTTTATTGAGCGTTGAAAGGAGTCAAAAGTTGAAATTCTTAATAATCCATAATTGAAAAGTACTTGATGTGTTTGATTATGCAAAATTACTATTTTTCGTCCAATACAATGTTATGCTTGTCTAACGGAAGTTAAATTGAAATTTTTGAAGCAAGAATAAAGTTTAAAAACTCGAAATTTGTAGAGAATGATTTATTGTATAAAATTGATTAAAATTGAAAAGTGTACAAAATTTTTATTTATCTGTAAAATAATTTTCTAATATTACTAATATAAAGAATGTAAACTAAAATCCTCGAAGAAAAGAACTAAAATCTTAGCTTTCGTTGGAGCTTCATTATGTAAAAAATTCATTCTTAATTATACATTCTTCAATAAAATAATTTTATACCTAAATTGATTTTTTTATTATTTGTTTAGTTACACATTCCTAGAAAACATTATTTCATAATATATTCTTTTCTCCAAAATGGGGCTCAAACAATGACCTATAAAAGAAATGAGGAATTATATTCTAATAATAAAAAATCATATTCTAAATAAGAAAAGAGATTGAGATAGTCTTATTACAGAAAGAATTTTTATTATAAATTTCATATTATTAATAGGTTGTACTATACTTCACCATTTGAAGAAAAATTCATCATCTAATGTGGTTAAATAACAGAAAATCAATTAATTGTCATGTTAAACAAATATCCATCTCTTTCTTCACGAAAATAACTACTTCAAGCACCAAACCATATTTTTCCTCATCTAAGGCCTTTTTAAGTAGTTTTCAAATATGGGAAATAATGACGCCACGTTATCTCTTTCATAGTTGTCAATAATGGTAATACCAGGGCCAATCACCCATCTTTGAACAATGGCATGAGTGCCGGTGATATGAAGTCATATTTTCCTCATCTAAGGCATTTTTAAGTAGTTCTCAAATATGGGAAACGCCGCCGCCAGGTTATTTCTTTCATGCTTGTCAATAATGGTAATACTAGCGCCTATCATCCTTCTTTAAACATCGGCACGAGCGCCCGTGATATCAGAAATGTCATTATGGCATGGAAATCTTTGGTACATTGATCACACGAGAATATGTTACTTTAGACACATGAGAATATAAGTATGATTGTTTCATGTTTAAGGATTTGCTCCCCTATTTCCTGTTGTAAAGACTATAAATTTCGTAGGCAACCCATATTATCATTACACCGTGTCAATCATTTGTACTTCATTGTTTGTTTGTTCCTCTATCCCACTTGTAAATTTATTTTGATGTGCCTCACCTCCCAAGAAATCATTTTATTGTTTTGACGCAGTGAGTTTGAAGAACTAGAAGCAGTTCCAACAATGGCTGTAAATGATGGTCCTCGAGAGCCATCATCTTTAACTACCACCAATGTGACAGATGTTCATGATGATCCTTCCTCTGTGAACTTCTTTAGTGTATTTTTGCCTTGCTTTGTTTTTCTTTTCTTATCCTTTTTTTGCCCCCCCACTATTTTGGGTTATTGCTTAAAAGATGAATTTAAATAGATTGCTTGAGAGCTAATTGCGACTGAGTCAAAAAGATCATATTGTTAGATATCTCATGCCCGGATAGGCGGGAACCTCATATCAAGTTGAAAAGTTATCATATAATTATTAAAATAATATGAGATGTCATTATCTTGAACTCTACCAAGAAGAATTTGCAATTCATATGTTCCTATTCTAATGGATATGTATAGTTAGAAACCTGCCCCATTGAACCTTTATTCCTTCCCCTTGAACCTCCTTTCCAGTGAAACAAGCATAGTCCTACATCCCACTTTTCACTCATCCGCAACTGTTGATACTTCTTCTCGTCCGCCTAGTATCTTGTCATCCACTTTAGCAACTGTCCAGACTCCATCTCTTATCGTGACATCTACCCCTGTAATGCCTAATCTTGACACACCCGAACCCAACGATGTATCTAAGCATTCAACTGATCTGGTAAAGCCCTCGTCATTTTTTGGTCCACCTCCCTCCTCTGCACCACTGATTATCCCTCCCGTCTCTTCGTCTGTACCAATTGCACCCCCACTTAATCCTCCAGGAAGTCTTCATTGACCTTATGGTGCTCCTCTACTCCAGCCTTTTCCACCACCAAATCCCCCACCATCACTCCCTCCAACTTCTGTTCTTACACCAAATTATGGAACTGTAGTAAGCAGAGAAAAAGTTCGTGAGGCACTTCAGATGCTCATTTAGACATGCTCTTCAATTGTAACTGAAGTTTTTTGTTCTTTTGCAAAGTTTCTGGTCACGAGTCTAGTCAGTTAAAATTTGTGAACTTCCTTTAGCATCATGTCTGTACCTATTATGCTTTTCAGCTGTGCAGGCAATGACATTTATTTTACCAGCGTACATTAGAAACATACATACTTGATAGCTCTCAGATTGTCTAGTGTTCACCCAATCATGCATCTATTGGTTCCCTTGCCGATGACTTAAAAAAATGAAAAAAAACTTCCCGTGATATCAGGAATGCCATTACAGCATGGAATTCTTTGGTACATCGATCGCCATATCAATCCATTGTCTACTTAGCCAAGCAACATCTCCTATGTTATAGCCATCATGGGAATTTCTTTTACAAGACCAGGATAATCTTTTTCACATAAGATATACATACTCTATGTGGCTTCCACAACTAATTCTCGGGATCATGCAAAGCAAGCCAAATCTCCACATTTTGAGGAATGGAGACATCATGAATGAATTTTACATCATTCAAGCAAGCCATTCTCATATGAATGGATACCTTCGACATGAATACCACATAGAGCAATGTTTGCCAATATTTTAGGAAGAACACCAAGAACAATGTGCAAGATTGATAGTATTTGAATCCTTGGTACGAGTATAATGGATCCATGTGCAAGAAAAGATTCTAAAGAACATGATCATCATGATAAAGGTCTGTCTTCTTGGGAGATAGCAGTATTCATTCCATTAGATTTTACATCGTGCTTTATGTTCTTCAGTTTCTTTTCTTGCTCATGGAGAACAGGGAGGACAACAAAGAATTAATGCTATACTTCAATAATTCAATCAAGAAACGAGGAAAAACAAAGAATTAATGCTAAAAAATCATCAAAACTGATCGTATCAAAAAAGAATAATGAACAGTTAATTTTTACATCAGTCAACGTTCAAAGTTAAAATCTAATTCTGTCAAGTACTATGATATCGTGTATGTCTAGAACTCTAAATTCATAAGGGCGTCATTATAATCCTCGTAGGGGAGTTAAATTTATGAAGAAACTGAAGCACGATTCAAAACTTCATCTCTTAGCCCAGTCAGTATCTCCTCAAACGCTCCGAGTTCACGCAATTCCATTCTTTCCAAGTTTTCATTGACCCACCAAAATTCCCTCTCACTTTTACCCATCTCTTCAACCACCGGATTGTGGGAAGCAAGATTCGAAACTTTATCTCTTAGCCCGGTCAGTGTCTCCTCAAACGCTCCGAGTTCACGCAACTCCATTTTTTCCGAGTTTTCATTCTCCCACCAAAATTCCCTCTCACTTTTACCCCTCTCTTCAACCACCGGATTGTAGGCATCATCAAGAAACTGCCATCGATTCAAAATGGATTCCACAAAGGGTTCGCCAAAAGTGAAAAACTTGTTACCCGGAGATTGAATGACGATTGCTACATCTGTGCCGCACAATAGGCGCGTTTCCGCAGCCTTCTTGAAAAGACCCTTCCGCCTCTTGGAGAAAGAAACTTGTAAACTTGTTTTCTTGTCGATCTTCTGAATTTCAATCTTCCGCCTTCCCTTCGTTTTCTTCTCTGGAATGCCGTTAGACATCGTCATGGCTCTGATTGATCTTTTGTTTGATGACAAGAACGAGTTCAATATAGGGTTATATGTAGAGTTCGAGAGCAGGGGAGGAGACTGGAGAGACAGAGGTTCTCTTTTTTATTTAATTGTACGCTAATCTTGAAATTCTTAACGTTAATAGTGCATAATGTTTCGACGCTAGTTTTGAAGTTAACGGTAATTATTTTGACGTAGTGGCTTGATTACCACTTCTTATTGGTCCCAAATTCCCTCTTTTTTTTTGTTTTAAATTCAAGAGAAATAGAATATTTAAAGAGAGCTTCAAGAAAAAAAAATTATTTGACTATGTCTTGTTTGATACAGTTTAAAATCTATATTTTAATTTATGTCAAAATTAATAATGAATTTTAATCGAATATGTCATGAGACCTGTGACTTTTCAACTACAGACATTTAATCAATTTTTATTGAAGTTCTCTAAAAATTTGATTTCATTTCTTGCCAAACAGGGGCTATAGACTTCATAACACGATGGCCAGTAGCAGATTTTAACGTTTAATCAGGGGTTGTATGTATATTCTTGTCGTTGTTAAGGAGAGTGATCGATAACTTTCCAGATAAGCTTACTATATTGATTAATATGTTTGATTTGAGCTAATAGATGAATTACCTTCATTTATTTATTTTTGTAATGTTATTTCTACATTTTTTTTAAAATGACATAAAATATTAAAATAAAAAAATTAAGACTTTGTTACAATATTTTATTAAAAATGATTTTTCATTTTTTAAAAAATTGATTTAAAATATTAAATAAGTTTAAAAATGATTTAAAATATTAAAATAAAATATCAACGGTAATCAACAATGCATTCTTACAATAGTAACAAAAGCCTAAGTCTTGCTTTTCCTTAATATTTTACTGGCTCCTTGATTCAGTAGCGAAGCCGGACATTCTTTATTGTGGGTCAAAAATAAAGTTGCAAAACATTTAGCAACATAACATTAACAAAAATAATTAAATACATTATTATAAACATTGTTTATAAGAGCATTGAGTTTGGAAATACTAGTAAATTTTACCGTTTTCCTATGTTTGGAACTAAACTCTTGTTTGATGGTCATTATTATTTAAAAAAAAAAATTTTGAATAGAGAGTTTTTATGAGAAAGTATGGTTAAAAGTAAAGAAAAATTTTGAATTTACATGGAAAATATGTTATTCTTGTGTAAATGTGTGATTGAAAATAAATATGAGAAATAAATTTGTTTTAAAGATTCCAACAACATGATATGTGAAATCATTTTTCAAATAATTCGTAATAAATCATTTGTAAAAATAAAAAAAATAAATAAATGATGTCCAACAAATATTAGAAACTACCTTTTAAAGTACAGTTACTATTCAATTTTTTATTTTTATTTTTAATAGTTCAATAACAACTAGAAAAATAATGTTGAAACTAAAGTGACCATTGACCATTGAGATGTTTACCTGTAGGTTGATCATGAAAATAAAAAAAAACACTCAAAATTTCTATCCATGTACCTAGAAAAAGATGTATTTTTAATTAATTTCTACAATTTATTCTAATCCAAGACTTTCAATATTTATTCTTTTGGTAATAAGAAAGAGAAATAATTAATAATCGAACAAACATGGTACAAAGGTACTATAGAGAGAGTAGTAAAAAAGTGAAACAAGATACAACCCTACTCGACTACTCCACATAGGAAAAAGTGAAAACATAAAAACTAAATTTAGTAAATAAAAAAAAATTCAAAGTATTTCTATGAAATTAGCTGATCCTACATGATCACAACTAGATCTGCCCATGCTTGGTTCTACAGAAAAACATGTTACATGCCCACTATAATACATTAAAACAAGTCAAATTTTTCTTGTTGACAACTTGATTCGTTTTTACAAGAGACTCAAAATCTATGGAAATGAAGTCACAAGAATTGTGCATGTGTTCTTTACACAACATTGAGTTTGTCTATAAAGTAAAGTGAAAATTCACAAGAATATATTGGATACATGGTAATCAACTAGATAGTATATAAGCTTTTGACTTAATTTTCTTCAATATAAGTCAACCCTACTCCAATCATCAAGAACATATCAAGACAAGCTTTTGACTTTTGACTTATTTTTCTTCAATGTAATGTCGTTTTTAAACTAAACAATATAACTATGAATAATTATAATTAAGAAAAGAAGCCCTCTTTTACTTTGGATTGCTATATTTCTGTTCTTGTGTTGTAAAATAAATCTATAGTAGGTAATTCTTATATTTCAATTTAGAACGAAGATAAAAGAAGGGGGGAAAAAACTCGAAACGGTCCATCCATTCTTGTGGTTTCGAAGTTCAGTTTGTATTCATTTAGTTCTCGTTAGGTACACAAGAAATGATTGATCCAATTCTTGTCTAGCTTGTACTCGTCATTTATCAGAAAATGACATAGTTTGGTTAAAAATTTATTTAAATCATTATGTTTTTCTTTTTTAGATCTTTACACGAAATACATTTTCTTAAATGAAAAGATGCAGCTAAGTGTTCCTTCTATCAGCATGGTATCTCCTTTCTAAAGAGAGAAGAAATTGATAACTTTTCAATCAATGTGTATGTTTGGTGTAATAAACAGAAACTACACGTTATAATATAATAATACTTTAACCTATTTTTTCAATTTTTAAATCTTATTTAGTACTATTTAGTTTTATACATCGCCCATCCCACGATTATTAGCAATCAGGGATTCCAAAAGTCTTTTCAAGGGAAAATAAATTGGCATGATTTCATTTTCAGTTTTTATAAACTATATATACTGATTATTACTTGTAAATTGATTTTCATTTTGTTATTTTTTATATCATTCATAGAGTCAATTTTTGATCTAAAATTTCAAATCTTTCCATCTATATAAAACATGAAAGAGATGA